CTATCTCCCTCAGCCAAGTCCGAGCACCTGTTGGCCAGACCCCACATCCCGTCGTGGGAATCGTTGCCTGCCGAGGCTTCCAGATCTAGAAAATGCCATTTGTTGTGGAATGAGTGTGGGTCCATTCCCACAGGCTTCATGGGGGAGAGAGGGAGACAAAAAGAGAGAGAGGGTGAGAGGAGATTTAACGGGGGACCTTCAACTGGTGTTTGTTCATCCTGGCAGCTGGTCCTCGATGCCACCGCAAAAGAGACCTTAATGGAAATGGGATGAGTTCATGCCCAGCCGAGGTTTCACACCCCATATATTACAAGACTTAATCCCAATATTAGCAGATTAGAAAGCCTGGGAATCTCAAAGGGGCAGGTTCTCAGTCTCCATTAGGGGCAGTTTCTTTTTCACCCCATCTTTGCTTTTCAGGGAAAGCAGCTTCTTTTCCTGCACTTGGAGCTGAAAGAGATCGATGCCTCGAGGTTTTAATGGGATTTCTGGTTGTGGCTTTGTCCAGCCCGGGAATCCATCTTCCTTCCTTCGCTGGCATTGGGCATCACAAATGCTATTTATTTCGAAGGCAAGGATAGTCTGATGAATAGAAGTAGAAAGAAAATCAGGATCTTAGAAACCGTTGCATCATCGGCTGGTACTGCAGCAGCAGCCTCGGTCTGTCTTGTAGGCGTAAATCTTGGCATCTTAGCCCATTGGGAAATTGCCCATAGAGCAGCCAACTTTTCACCTTATAGTGTCTACTGAATGGATGGAAATCTTGTTCAACCTGAAAATTGAAAAATAGTTTAGATCTTTGCCAAAACTGCATGTTGCTTTTTTCAAGCTCATTGGCCAATTCCAATATTAGCTAGTAAACATTCTGAAGAAAACTTCGGAAACTAAGTATTTTTCCATCAGATCACTGCAAAGTTCTTTTAAAACCTTCAGGTAGTGGGTTATTTTATAGGTAGGAAAAAATGATTTGGTTTGATCCTTCAGCCCTTCCCCCAACCACAACAATGCATGCTGTTGACTTCCGATCAGACTGTTGGGGAGGGTGGGAGAGCATTATTTACTTGAATGCAAACGGACTACCCCAAGGGGAGGAGCTTATCTATGAATCTCTTTATTGTCGCTCTTAATTAATTTTTTTGGCAAGGGGTAGAGAAGGAGAGTAGAGAAAACATTGGTTTCAAAGGTTTGAATAGCTGTCAGTCATGGAAGCCCGCACGCTGGTTCCTTCCAGTGCCAGACAATATTATACAAGGACACGCGCGGGCGACTATTGCTGATTCATTGGTTTGGGAGGTGTTTGTGTGTGTTTTAATTTTCTTTTGAAATTCCCACGTCTGCCTTAAATAGCACTTTGGTTCGGGTCTTGGGAGAAAGATTGATTTCCCTTTGCATGTGGAATTATACATGGGTATCTATTTATGTATGTGTGTGTGAAAGAACACTCACACACCTTTTGGGTTATTTTTCTGGCCTTTCAAACATCCGCTGCAACTGTAGTGAAGGAAGCTGAGGAAGAGCGGCAAAGGGAGATGATCTGAAGATCGTTATTAAAGGGATTTGTCGAGTCAAACCAGAAGAGTCACATGATAGACAGACCCTGTGGTTTTTTTCCCCCCTGAGCAGCCCGGCTCTTCCGCTTGATCTGCGCTAGACTTAAGGATGTGAAGAGGCCATCCCTGAACAACAAAACGCACTCACGCCTTCAGGCGCGCGCGCGAGCGCCTCCTCACACCCGCAAAAGTGATGCCATCGAAGAGAAGCCGCCCCATAGACGCGTTGGGGTGGTGCAAAGCCACGGCCTCAGCAAGCACTCCCCCCCACCCCCCAGCTCCGGCTATTGAGCAACGGGCCCTTCCGCCGCTTAGTCTCAAGGCGTTCGAATCTAGCGGCCATTTGACTTTCTAATGAGCGTAAATGAAATTACATGCCTCCTGGAAGCGTTTGTGCCAAGGAGCCTTTCTGTGTTTAATGAGAGCCTAATACTGCACTACCGAATGGTAGCTGGCCTATTCAATCCTCCGCTTTCGCCGCCTGCTTTTCCTTCGCGGCTCTCGACAGTTTAATTGTGTTGGCCGGTGGATTTCTCCTGCTCCTTTTCCTGGGGGGAGGGGGGGGCTGCTCCTCTTCCCGCCGCCCGAGATTGCCAATGGAGGGCAAGGGAACTGAAATCTGGCTAATTGTCCTTCGAAGGGATGGTGCCAGACGGAAGACATGGGCCAGTTTGCCAGCCTATCTAGGTTAATGCAATTAGCCTGCCCGAGCGGGTGATGCGTTCCTGTTGCTTTCCGAAAGTGCCGGCGTAGCGAGGGGTCATTAGCTGTTTTGGGGCTCCGAGGACTGACCGCGGTTCCCATCCGCCTGCCTCTCCCCTCCCCCGGGCAGGAGCAGCAAGAACAGTGCTGGATCAGACATACTAGACCTGGGCTAGGCAGCTGGGCTTCTCCCGCAGATCCATGGCGTCTAACATGGGAAAATCCGCACCTGCGGCCTTGGCCAGCCGCGGAAGCAGAAGCGACTGAAGCACAGCCTCGGGGCAGCCAGAAGTCTCTGCAGCCTTTGCAGCCCTCGCCTTGGGGTGTAGAACTGGCTCTAAACTACACACCTCCGACCCTGGGAACCCCCTACTGTGCGGCGCTCAGTTTAGCCTCCTCGCTAGATCGATACATTTCGCAAACTAGGTTTTCATTCAATGCAGGGTCGTGGTCTCAGATGAGGATGTCCGTTTGCGGGGCGGAGGTGGGGGTAGGGTACTTTTCGGACTGTATCTAACTCACACCAGGATTACTTTTCAGAAGAGCTTCCCTTCTACAATTCCCCCATACACCACTCTACACACACACACACACACACAGAGTGGTGGAATTTGGAATAGGAAATATAGCAGACAAATTAGGGCTAAAATATGCTGGAAAATATTTTGTTTGTTGTTTTCCTGTGCCTTTAGGACAGCAGCAGATCTCACTAACAATGTTGAAAAGTAGATTGCCTTTATAATTAAGTTATACACCGGTAAGCTAAAGCCTGCAGAGAATCCTATAAACAGCTGCCAGGTACATTTACGTTTGGATAAGGCTGAATCTAGCCACAGGGACTCAAGCCACAGGGACTCAACAATCAAGCTTAGAACCAGTGGCCAGTTTTTCACCTGTTTCTGAAAGTGTTGATGGTGCTGTTGCTGTTTGCAATTATATTTTTAGAAATAGAAGTACCCTTACTTTCAACTGTCTGGTTCATAAAACCTTAATGAACACAAACTTTTGAAGAAAATCCTATGAAATTCTTAGAAAGACATGACGTCTTCCCATGAGCATAGGTGGATATGCAGAATCATATCTACTACAATAACAAAAATAACTCTTAAATATAATAAATTCATAGAATGTAAAGATTAAAAGGGATTACAGTAAAGAAACTTTCTGTACAATAATTCAAGTAGAATACATCAAGTGGAATAATTCAAGTGGAATACAAGTGAAAAAGGACATATTCCCATCAAATTTGTCACAGGAAAAATACTGCTGGCACCCCTCTGCAGACTTGATTGAGACATCAATATTCCAAGAGATAATTGCAAAAAACTTAAAAGATTATGTCATGTAGCTCAACCTTTTGCTATCAGCTAGCAGTCTATAAACTGGCAATTCTCAGCACACAGCTTAACAAAGTCTTCTTGAAGTTATTCAGTGAAGCAAAACTCCATCTCTTCTAATAAACTTGTTGCATTACCATACTACAGTACTAACCTTTGGGATATGCTGGTTTTCAAGTATTATTAACCATGTCAGAACTTGATTAGTTTCTGATCTCAGACTAGTGCTAGATATTGATAAGTAATCCAATGAAATACTTATCATCCTGAGCCTCCAGTGATTTTACAAACCCATTAGAAATGTTAGCTAAGCAATATTAATGAAAGTAGTAAAATGGGTTGCTGCTATAAGGAAACAAACTTTCTCACACAGAGAAAGACCCTTTAGTGAACCAACAAACCTGGATTGCAACCTTATCCATTGGATGTCACCCAACTTTTTACCACCCATGACTTATTTTTGAAGTGAAAAGCTTATTGGAACATTTCAATGTAGTTTTACCAGTTTTTAAAACACTTCATATTCCTACATCTTAATAAAGCTTTTCAGATATAAAGATTTCCTAAGAAGGCTACAATGTTGAAAAGCAGTCAGGATATGTGATAAAATGTTCCTTGGTTGCCAGTTAACTAGGGATTCTGGGAACTATAATCCTTATGCATCTGGAAGGCACTGGGCTTCTCCATACAGTAATATAGGATTAACATTTTTGCAGCATAGAACCAATTAGAGGGATGGTCTTTAAATAACAAATTTATTAGCTGAATACATTTATTAGCACAGAGTTTATTTGCTGAATCCTGCATCAAGACATCTCCTTGATCTGCAGAAACTTCCAGTATTTTATAAACAATTTAATCTAAAGTTCTACCTGAGAACAGATCCTCCTCCAAATAAACTCATTTTAATCAAAGTTTACTAATATTTTAATATAATTAACATATTCAACAAGTGGTAATATATTATGTTCACATTTCTTGGGAAACATTTTCCTTTCTAACAAAGAATTTTTGCAAAGGTGCTGGTGAATGAATCTACAAGTATTGCATATTTTAACATTAGGATAAATTATATAAATTATACATTCAAAAAAGAGCTCCATTCCCCCAGGTGTAAATAATAAATAGAAAAAAAGGTGATTGCTTAGAATACTTTTTTGTATTGTAAAGTACTTTTGAAAATATGTATTGTTAAGCAACACTGTTCCAATAAAGTAGAGGTATAAGTAGTCAGGGCTGGAGTTCTTTGTGCTAAGTTCAGTTGTTTGCTTGCAGATGAACGTTACTAGGTTCACACTGCTGCCTAATCAGGTAGTGAAATGTCTGTAAGCAACACAATCAAGCTTAGAACCAAGAATTCATACCACTGTATGCTGGCAGAATATTGATATTTTAAACTAATGTTCTCATGTTATGATATGAAATCAAATGGGGGCTCATTTTCAATATTGTTCACAGACGATTTGCTGATTAACTTTCTGGGGTCTTCTGGAGTCCAGACTTTAGCAGTTCTAATAATGTTTTGCTCCTTGAGTTGTTTTTCATCAGTCCAGGAGAGTGAATGCCCAGCAAGAGGAGGAAGTCCATAATCTGGGTCACTTGGAGAAGGTGATCCTGGAAGAAAGATAAACAAAGGAAGAGCATTAGACTGAATATTCTTACCATACACAGATTGGAATAAACATGTCATGAACGAGTAGGCAGCAATATAAGTTTTTCCAAATAACTAACTTCCCACTTTCTGTCACACTTGTGACAGGGAGTCAGCTAACTGGGGCATCATTTGCTGAGTATATAATATAGTCTTGAACTCACTCACCACTTAATCTAGCTATTGGAATAGTGTATCAATTTTTAAAGGAATTTAATACTTGCATAACCCAACACGATATTTGGGGAGAAAGCAGCTTCTCTCCATAGCTAGAGTTGGTTTTTTGCTTTTCCAATGGGCGTGCGCTTCTGCAGAGGTTATTATGTAGGGACCACCCTAATTTGGTTCTCAACTCCTTTTGACTGCACGCAGACATTAAGATTACTATGTGTATTGCTGGGTTTTAAGGGTAATAGCCTATCAGTGGTGCAGCGATTTGGATGCAAACTATCTACAGACCCATGCAAAATAGTGGCCTCTTCGAATTTAAATTCCGCCGCGAATGACTGTATCCTCTCAGTTGTTACCCCCGTCGGAGGATCGTCTTTGGGTCGCTGCAAGCACAGTTCACTAGCAAACAAAGGAAAGAATAAAGTTCTCGTGTCTGCTCGTGCATAAACTTGTGAGGAGTAGCAGCAACAGGAATAGCAGCCACCGGACAGACGCGTCTATGAGAAAGTCCGAACGCGAATGGAATCCTATTGGACACCTATTTTGTGCACCGAGTCAGGGAGTTCCAAAGCAAAGCTTTGGGCTGCGACGATCTCTCACTGCTCTGGAGAGAGGAGTGGGTTTAGGGAAAGCGGAGCGCTTGAGCTGGAGGACGGTCGTCTGCAAGGTTTCCACAGATGCACCGAAGCCACTGTGGCCAAGGAGTCTCCCTCTCTCTTTTCATTTGGAGCGCGCCTGACCGGGACGGGAAGCTCACCCTGCACTTACTTGTGCCCCGGTGGCAGATGATAACCTTCTTGGGCTGGCATGGGCTCTGGCTGCCCGCGCTGCGCAAAGGTAAGTCGGACTGGACCAGCTCACTGAGGAAGTTGATGTAGCCGATGGCGAGGCGCAGAGTGTCCACTTTGGAGAGGCGCTTCTCGTAGGGCAGCGTGGGGATATGAGAGCGCAGCCCCTCGAAGGCGTCGTTGATGGATTGCATGCGCCGCCGCTCGCGCACATTGGCCGCCTGCCTCAGTTGCTGCAGCTCCGCCTCGGAGCGCACCCGCCGCCGCCGCCGCGCTGCCGCTGCCGCCGCCGCTGCACTCAAAGCCTTGAGGCTGCCCCTGGGCGACGTCGCCAGTCCGCAGCACTCATAGGTGAAACTGGCCGACGACGGCGATGAGACGGACGTCGAGAAGCTGCCTGGATCCGCCTCATAGCACCGAGAGAGTTCGGGCACATGTTCGGATGCTGAGCCCCCGCCAGCCCCGTCGCTGCGGTAACACCCCTGCAACGGCGGGCTCAGGAAGTCCACCTCGGCCTCCAGGAGCTCGTCACCTTCCATAGGGTCGCGGGAAAACTGATCAGTGAAAAATTCCTCGTCGTCGAAGTAAGATTCTGAGGAGAAGGAGTCCAGCCCAGCAGGAAAGTGTTCCAGGAGTACCGATTCCATGCCGGATCTGAAAGAATGTGGGTCGGGAAAGGCGCCAGGCGAAGCCAGTTGTGGGCGAGTAGCTGCTTTTTCTTTCTCTGCTCCCCGCCTCCGCCTTTGGCTCCTGCGGCGCTACGATTTGCTACTGTTCCCTTCTGCGTATTTGCGCGCGTTCTCTCTCCCCGACGGAGGCTGCAGACTCCTAAGAACCGAGGACCGGCACGCGAGGATTCTTATAAGTACAACCGCAGGCGCGTGCCATTAACCAACATCACCAGCCAATCAGGGCTCAGTGGAGGACCTCCCATGGTCAAGGGGCAGTGGGAGGGGGAGTATACACCTAGGCTATATCTAAAGGGGGAGCGAGGGCAGAGAACGCTCTCTTTTGGTGTCTGCGTTCGCCGATTTCCTCTACCTGCCAGCAGAAAGTTTAAGGCATTGGTACAGTTACCTCCATTGTGCCCTGGAGGGATCCGAGGCTCTTGGGGTATCACGAAGCAACTCCCCGGGGAAGTTGGTGTAACCAATCTGTCTTCAGGCTTTTCTACTATCCAAATCTCGTCTACCCTCTCGTTCCATATGTGCAGAGTAGAGAGGAAGGGAAATCTAGTTCTGGTTTGGGCCCTGTCGGATCCTACTACCTCAGCGCAACTAGAATTGGCCTGGGAAAGGCTGAATAATTCCAGTCTAACATTATGCCCTATCCAAATTCCTGTTTTCATGAACTTTTAGTATTATTTATCTTGCTTTTTCCTGCTCAACCATTGCAGAGCTAAGGCTCATTACCTCCTCTTTAGATAGGTTATTAGATAAATTTTCAAAAGGGAGAGACACAGACGATTAATCTGAAGGCTTATTCTAGATTTTCAGCATTTAATAGATGGAGATACTTGTCCAAAACCACTTTCTCTAGAATAGATGAATCACCTCTCCCCCACTCTGTCCTTGCTACCTTGAATATCCTGATCCTTGACTTCAAAAGTTTGCCATTCCCTCCACAGGGAACAGAGTCAAGGCCATATCCTTGAGTTTTGTTATCTATTGTGATCGTGATATCAGATAGCAACCTTGAAAACCCACAACCATGGAATATGAAGACTCACTCCTGAGCATGTACCACAGTAAAGTGGGCGCATTGCACATGTGTCAGCTGAACTCGTGTTTTCCAGTTACAAGCTTGTAAAACTCAGATAAGTACATTCCTTGTATGTTTGTACAGCTCATTAAACCAAAATATTCAAGTTGATGTCCCTTGCTATATGAACCAAAATCAATTATTTCAATATATTGTTGTCCATAAACCATATTTCCATTTTGTCTTAGACAACAATCCATGATTCAGCATCTCTGATATAGGGTGTTGTGAGATCCAACCTAAGTGAAATCTTCAAATGAGAGAACTGCCCTGTTAGCTATTAAAATGTCCCAAACTGATGGCACTTGCAACAAATCATAACTCATCTTTCTAATTAGAAGGTCTTTTACCTTCCCTTCCCTTCCTCTTCTTCTCATGATGGCACCCAAAAACATTGCTATCTGAGACTAAGATCAAGACTGGTGTTGGTAAAGAGCTGCTGTGATGCCTGGGACAAGTTCCTGAAATTGTTATGACTTTCTTGCAAACCAGAATGCCTAAGATCGGATGCCTCATTTTGCCTGCCCATGCTAAGTCTGTAGCAGTCAGATGTTGGGATAACTTCTGGGAAACCACAATTCAAATCTATATTCAACCACAGAAGCTCCCTGGAAGACCTTTGGCAAGTCACCTTCTCTCAGCCAAATCCTTGGAGGCAATGGATTCTTCTTGCCTGGGGACAAAACGAAAGGATCTTGTCATGAAAGGGGGCCTCTCTCTTGAAGAAAAATATATCTAACAAAGAATGAAAGAAATTGAAGGGAGGTGTGTTAGGTCTGCTTTTCTTTACTGACAAAATGTGTTTACTTTCAAAATGTATCGGCTCAGGAGCCCGCCTCTTGTCTACTGCATGTCTATGCTCTTTACTTTGAATTGTATCACTACAATTAAGAATAGTTTCACCAAATCATATGCCATATGTGTACGATAGGAGAGTTACAGTATTAATCACTAATTAAGTTAGAAAATCTCATGATTCAAGAGCTTAAGGCTACTATCACCATCGTTACTACCTACTTCAACAAAATCTTCCTCATGAATATGGAGTCCACGTGGGCAAATTTGGATAGATTTTTAGCCTCGAAGCATTTAATACCATTCCACACCTGGACCAGCAGATTTTTAGGTTTAAAACATTGAAGAATTTCAACCACCTTTTCAGGAGTCTCCACAAATGTCTAATTACAAAAAAAGAAAGAAAGATATTTTGGCCTATGGATGGAGTGCTGTAGAATTAGAAATAACCCCTGAAGCAAATACAAGGTTTCTAAGCTGGCTTGTTGGCTACCATGCAACTCCTTCGCAAATTAATTACATATAATTAGATTATAGCTGTTTCGTGCAAGCCAGGGTGACCTAGGCAAAACAGAGAGTCTGAACAAGTATAAGAAACAATATATTACATGCTCAAAAAGTAATCCAGTCTTGTATGTTGTGCTCATATACTCCTCTCTCAAAGGATGCATAGATCTTCAGGTCTTCCTTTAGCACCCAGCAGCAGCCCCAGAGTGTCGCCTGGTAATAATTGTAGGGCAAGGAATGGATCTTTGCCACTTGCCAATTCAATAACACTTTCACTTCAACGTGGTTTTGATTTCCTCTCTTTTGGGAATGGAATGAGTCCAACCCTGAGACAGTCTGAGAATTAAACCTTTGTTCAGGGCCAGGCTGCTTTTCTGGATTTTGTTTTCCAGTTACCTCAGCTTGCTGAGGTCTTTGAAGCTTGGTCATTCATCATACTTTGAAATTGGGTTTTTTTTCCCCTAGTGTGAAGATAGAGGAACACTGTGCTCACTCTTCTGAAGTCAGATAACACTGGGTGTTTTCAACTAGACTAATCTATGTGTGTTATGTATGGGTATGGGTAGATATATATACTTTCTTTTGAGAGTAGAATTTCATTTTTAATGTGGACCAGTGTGCTCACAGTAAAAAAAAATGTCAATAAAGGCTATCTTATGACATCTCATCTCATCTTACCATCTTACTACAGCAATCTTGAACTTGACTACAAATGAGATCAGAACAGCCCACCACCTCTGCCACTTTGGACTTACTATGTTCTTATTTTAAAAATCAGTTCTTTTCATTTATAAAGCTGGTAGAATTAAGATTTCTATTGTAAGTCATAGCAATAAGTACATTTCAACAAACATTCAGCCTGTTGTAAAAAGATCAATATAAAGAAAAGACCAGGTAAATGTGATTTATACCAAACTAAGTATTACTGTACAGTGGCCTCACTCGGTATATGCTTCAGCTTCAGTTTCCTGCCAGCGTACAAAGAGTAATGAGTAGGATTGCATGCATCCATGTACAGATGGGATTTTCATAAGATGAGGCTAAAACCTAGGTGACCAAGAGTTCTAATCGTGTCTTAGGCGCAAAACCAGCCAACACCTTGGCCAGTCATTCTCTGTAAGCCCAGGAAGAAAACAAAGAGAGTTATTGCTTAAAAAATCTTCCCAGAATGACAAGGACCAGTCCAGGTAATTGCCAGGAGTCAACACTGATTTGAAGGTACAAATAACCTTAAACAATAAAGTATATTAAACTGAATGCTCTTAACTCTTATGGTTAGAGTTGGTCTGCATGCCATCCTTATTCACACAATCTGAAAGTTCTGCTCGTCACAGCAGAATTTATTTCCAGCTTAACGAACATGCACAGATTGAAGTGCTGGAATGATTTTAAAAGTGCTTTAAATGTTGCCAATATTAAACAACTGAAAACTATTAGAGCCACAAATCTACCTCAGTATTTGAGTTTCTGCCTTCAATTGATTCTTGCCTATTACATCACATAGAACTAATCTTAAGTTTTGTTAGAAGTACTATAAGTTTTCTCTTTACTTTTGCTCTTTTCCAAACATAATGACTCTTGTGTTCTTTGGAATTGGAGCATAGGATTGCTTGTGGCTTATTTGATCTAGAATAATAAGTGCAATCAAATAATCACTACTCCTATAAGTGACTTAAATATTCAAGATGCAACTTCCATGGTGAAATGTTAAAGATAGTCTTGCTTAAAATGCTAGACCTAAATCCCTATCCATTCTAGGGATTTACTCTCAGATTAAAAATGGTATAATGTTGTAGTGTGCATAGCTTCTGCAATGCTTCATAATACTTATATCTAGAGGGAAAAAACTGTTTTATATTGTGTCCCTTATAACGTTTGTCCTGTTTCTTTAACAAACAGGATTCTCAATCAGAGGGTGACTACTTTTTCTTCGTTTCTGCATATCAATTTGTGAGAAGATAGGGTGCTGACAAAATAAGCAGCACCTTTGCTCCTGTTGTCCTGTCCTTTTAAGCCCTCTCCCTAGCCAACACAACAATTATTGGCTATTAAATCTGAGAAGGGAAGGGTGTGGTGCTGCTGGTGTGTGGGAGACAGGGAAGGAAGTGTGTGAAGCAAATTAAAGCAGATAGGAAGAGACACTGTTCTCCAGCAGTAGGATTCATAGATTCATAGAGCAGAGGTCTCCAAACTTGGCAACTTTTAAGACTTGTGAACTTCAACTCCCAGAATTCTCCAGCCTGGCTAGAGAATTCTGGGAGTTGAAGCCCACAACTCTTAAAGTTGCCAGGTTTGGGGACCCCTGAGTTAGAGGAAAAGTAGTAGACATAGGAGACATGGAGTAGGGAGCAGTTCACACTAGCCTTTGATTGAATGAGTGAGTGAGTGAGTGAGTGTGTGTATTGCCTAGAGATCTGTGTGGTTGTACTAGCTCTCTTGGGTTTTAGAGCCCAATGACTTGGGCACACATAAAAGAACCCATAATGAAATGCATCAAACAAAATATCTAAACCTCATTTCAGTATACTTTAGGATGGCTAGAGCAAAAAGGTTTTAACATAATACATAAATTGCAAAATGTACT